TACATTCTCCTCAGCGGCACGATGCCCTTCGAGGACGACAACCGCACCCGCCTGTATCGGCAGATCCTGAAGGGAAAGTACAGTTACTCAGGAGAGGTGAGTGTGCTGAGGGTGGGGCGAGGGGAAGTCAAGCAAGAAGCTCTCCCTAGGTGGGTCTTTGTGATGACCACATCCTGTGCAGGATGGTAACATTACCTGGCTTTAAAAAAATTGTGATTCTGGCTTTTTAAGTCCTTTCCGGTTTTTTGTCTGCTCTCCAAAACTGCTCCCAGTGCAGCATAGTGAGCTCCTTTAAAATCAACATGGAAAAGAAAGAGGAGACTCCTGTAGAACAGAACTGGGATGCTTGTAGGTTTCTAGCTGGGGAACCTTGGCCATGGTGAACTGCTGTTTGAAGCTTTGCTGTTGCAGTTTGTGCCAGGTGTTTGAAATGTGACATACATGTAACTAGTCTGACTTCTGATGCAAATCCAATTGTACTCTGAAAAAATGCCTTTGCTGAAAGTTAAGGTGATGGCAGGCAAAGGGGCACTAGGTTCTTCAGTCTGGATGTGAGTGTTTCAGAAATTGGTCTGCATCGTCCTCTGAGGTTGGTAGGAGATAAAATAGAGGATTGAAGTATAGTTTTCATAGATAACTATGGAAAGAGGAGCCTTGGGGGATGATTTTTAGGCAGAACATGGGCCCTCTACCCTCCCAGAGTCCCGTCACTCTGCAGGATGGTCAGGCTGGCATAGCTCCTGCTGATTTCCTTCTGGTCATGGTGGAAAGCTCAGTCACCAGCCAACTCCTTCACCAGCACAACTGCCAAGTGTAGCATAACCTCACCAAGAATCACACCTACAGAAAGTGGTGGGATCCAAATTTGCAAGTTGCATTTCCGCTTATATCTCTCACTGTATTAAAAAATGAAGCTTCTGTAACTTCTTCTCTTTTATATGTTGGAGAGTGTTTAGATGCCTGAACACCATGACTTTGAGATGAAGCCCACTGGGAAAGTATGAATGAGTGGCTGAGTTTGTGATTCTGACACGACAGTGAAATAACTGTCAAAGAAAAAACAGAATAAGTTAATGATTGTTCTTGTAGTTTTAGGTGTAACAGTTATGTTGGCATTTTAATGATGGATGGAAGGAGCCCAGCTCATTAAGTTCTTAAACATATTAGGCTGCTTTAGGATTGTGTTTACAAAAAAAAAAAACCACTCTCTGAAGGGTTCTCAGAGGTGTCAGTAAATCTTTTGTACTTTAAAGCTGTCAGGCCAGCTTGTGTTAATCGTTGGAATATCCAAGTGAAATGAACCTGAGGAATATTGGCATTTGCATAGAAGGCCACCAAGGAGAGCCCAGATTTGACACCTTTGTGAATCTTGTTAATTCTTCCCATGAGCACTCCTCAAAGTCTCTGGTACACAGCAGAAGCACAAAAGTGAGGAGTCATAAACCCCTACGTTTGGCACTTTCTGGGCTAAATGTATTCCTTCAGAAACTGCAGTACTTGATTACTTTCTTGCCAGAAGTATTCTGTCAACTGCTTCCCTGAACTCCAAGTTCAGCTGACTTTGGCAGCCTTTGCCACTTGTTAATCTGCTGCATTAATATGCTTTGTTAACCAGTTGAGTTTAAGAATGCAGTGGGATTATCCTGATGCAGAAACTGATGAATTGCCATCTGCATGTGACATCTGTGGGACACAAAGTCCTGGTCACCTTATAACCAGTGGTAGGAGATATGCTAGAAGTGATTTTTGTCATGTGAAAAGGTCAGTTCACTGGTGTTTGGTGCATAGCAGATCACAATGCAGGTGCATGTGTCTCCTCATAGTTTCTTGTCCAGAGTCTTCTAGATTCCTTGTCCAAATTCAGGTTTGGTGCCTTTTGTGTTCCTCTTGGCCATTCATTTTTCTCCCCTTCTTTGAGTTCTTTTGTTTTGAAACAGCAGTGTGGTGGGGTTTTGGGGGACCTGCTTTTATTCTTAACCTAACATTCTGTGCAAATGAGTACCGTAGTTTATTTAAAAAAACCCCACATGGACAAGGTGTTCCCTTCTCTTAGTTTTTATTTGCCTCTGCTAATTTAACTGATATCTTCTTACGTACATCTCAATCTCCATTGCTTGAGAAACTAATAACATTTCCACATCCAGCTCTCAGTTACCTCATGCTGCTTTAGATTCCTTGTTTTATTTCAGGATGTATATCCATCAGTGTTTAGTGCTTTCTATGAATTGTAATCCATAGGTCTGATTTTTGCAGTTGCCCTTCTCTAGGCTACTTGTACTCTTTAGGATAGGGTAACATGTGAGTGTTGTGGCATAGAAAAGTCTCTCTGGTTGTTCACTACTTCTTCCCATGAGTTTTTTGATACTGTTTGCTTCTTTGACACCTCTGAGCACTTGGCTGAGGGTGTAGAGTGGCCTACTGTGACTCCAAGAGGTTTCCTGAGCATTAATTGCTGATTTTGGGATGTCACGTTGTCTGCATAATGTGTTGTGTTCCCTGTAATGTCTCCACCCCTCAGTGCAGGAGCTTGTGCTCAGTGACATTGAATTTTGTGACTCATTCAACTTTGTCACTTTCTATTTTTACTCTTCTGCAGGTTTTTTAATTAAGCTTAGCATGTTTTCTGAGACAGGTTCTGCCTGTTCTTGTGAAATGTGATAATCCTGGAGTTTTAGAGTCTTAGAAGCAAGTGGTGGGATACAGGTTGGACACCCAACAAATGATGCTGGTGAGACTGAGCTGTTCAGCTTAAAAACAAAGCTGAGGACTTAGTGGGAGAACACATGATAAATTGACTGATGCTTGGGGTGGAAAAACTTGAACTGGTCCCATGGGAAGATGTCCAGTTTGCATTTTCTATAAGTGCTGGGCCCTGAAGGTGCTTCTTGCTCTTCAGAAGAAACAATCTGAGGTAAAACAATCTGAGGTTAAACACTTCTTAATATCATCTTGACACTTATGTTCAAAAATTGGTTGATATTAGGAGCAAGTGTTGCTATTGCAGGTGTCCTTGCCGTGCCATGCCCTTGAATTTTGAGTGCAGGTCTGTGTCCTCTGGATAAAAATACAGAATTGGAAAGCATGTGTAGAAGAGCAGTCTGAATAATCAAAGGTATGGGCTGGCTTCTGAGCAAAAGGTCTAGGGCCTTTCCTCCAAAAACACAGACATTTGAGGGGATCTCCACCCAAACTCAGTGCAGCCTCAGGCAGATTGCAGAGAGTGAACTGGGAGCAACTGTTTTGAACTTTCGCTGGGGTAATTTAATTTGATGTCCACTGGTCCTTGTGCCAGAATGAGGTTATTTTGAGAATGTTTGTGATTTCATTTCAACTAGGGCCACTGGTTGCTTGTAGGTTGTATACACAGAGGCAGCACGTGTGCCACAGGGAAAGCATTAGGCTGTTTGCTTTCAAAGTGCCATTGCACAAGCCTGAGGCATTTTACTTGTTATCCCACCACAAATTATACACTTTAGGAGGCTGTTACGGTGACTGCGTGTGACATGAGTGGTTGTTTTGGAAAGCTGTCAATGCTTTACTGCTTGGAAAGCAAATATGTGCCAGGCAGCAGCCTGTATCTCTTGGCCAGATGCTTTCTGCTCCTCTAGAGCCAGGCAAAATGGGTGCTTTAATTACCAGTGTAATTAAGCCAATGCCCCTAAATTGCAGGCATGTTTGACTGTAGCCAGGTATTGGCAGGAGATGCAGTATCAAGGCTGCCCACTTTGTGAATAAATTCTAGGAGAAAGCAAAGTGAGCCAGAGCTTTAGAGGCATCTGGTGCGTTTGCCACAACCTTGCCTGTGTTCTTCAAGTCATCTTCTGGGCTTTTAAATGCTTCCAAATTTCTGATGTTCACAGAAAATTGCTCATCTTTTTTTTTTATGTTACACTGGAAGAAGTGGGAACATGTCAGAAAAAAGGGTGTTGATAAGTTTGTTGGACTAATGGGAATGGCAGGAGCTGTAAGTCCTGGTTGCTTTGGAACAAGAGTGGGCAGAATACTTCAATGAGTTGCAGAAAGTGTCTGTCTTGGATAGATGTAGATGCAGAGGTTTCATGGGAACAAGTGCTTTTGTTCTCTGTGATCTGAAGCTTGAGGATGTGAAGTGGAAGAGGAAATGTTAAAAGAAGCCTGTGAACTACAGTGCTCAGAGCTGACAGCTTGAGCTGGTGGCTCAGACACGTTTCAGGGGGAAGGAGGGAGCTGTCTTCAAGCTGTACCGTGTCAGGCAGCAGCAGTACCCTGAGTTGGCCAGTCTCAGTGCAGAGTCCCACTTTTTGAAAGGTCTGACCTCAAAACCTAGTCAAAGAGGACAAAGCTATATTGAACGAGAAATAAAAGCCAAGATGCACAGTGACCTGAGAAGTAGCTCCATCTTCTTGGAAAAACAAGTGATCTCATGTCCAGCTAATGTAATTGCTTTCTGCCTGGCACCCTCTTTACCTGCGCTCCTGTTCCTGGAGTGTGAGGTCTGTTTGAAGAGGCTATTAGCAGATCAATAGGAGAGGTCTCCCACAATAGGTTTGTCAGGTACTGCTGACGTCACTGCTCTGATTATCACTTGTATCCCCTTCTATACTTTCTGAACTGCTTGGAGTAATGGCTAGGGTGAGGAATGAAGGAAAGGTGGCTTTGTAACTTCGTGTGCTTTTTTTTTCCTGAGTGAGGGTTGGGTGGGCTATTGAGACTGCATTGGATGCAGCCTGCTGCAAAGTTATTCTCTTTCACTTGTTTTGTTAGAACTTCCTAAGAGAAGATTTGGCAATATTTTAATTGAAATCTTGGGGATAACACTGATTTCTGGGTATCTTTTTACCTGTAGCTTAAAAAGTCAACTGAGGAATAAAGCTGGAATTCCATTCACAGTTCCCTTTGAATTTGAAAGTGCAGAGATTGAACACTGGACCATCATTATCCTGCTAGGACAGGATTGCTCTGATTCTGTTTCAAAGCTTCTCCTTCTGTTGAATATCAGTACTTTTATACTGCTTTACACACCTGGGAAAATTGTGGAAGTAGTGGAAGATAATATATGTGATGGTTAAATTGGGAAACGGCCAGGGTGTGTGGATTGTTCTGATTTTGATACCTGA